CGCGCAAGCCGCGACCTCGCGGCGGTTGCGGCGCCCGGCGCACCCGGCGCGACCGAGCCCTCCTCGAAGAACGAACTGCGGCAGCCAATGAGAACCCGCGGCGTCGCAAGCGACCCGACGTCCGCAGCGCCGCGCGCCTCGCGGCGTCTGGCCCGCTCTCCCCCTCGTCGTCGGCGCTGCCGGGGTCGCCGACGACGCGGAGCGGCCCTCGAGCGCGCCTCGCCCTCCGGCGGCGGGATCTCGCGCCAGGGGCGGCCCGGCAGATCGACCCCGCGGGGCCGGCCGCGCGCCCCCTGGACGAGGCGAGGTTCGTCGCCTGCGCGCCGGCGACTCGCGGCCCAGCTCGCCCACGGCTGAGCGGCGCCGCGCCGGCGGCGGCGAGGCCGGCCGCGCTCGCGGGCCCCCGCCGCCGGCGGCCATCTGCGCCGACGGAAGGGTTTGGCTAGTTCGAGCTCGAATGAAGCACGGCAAATGCGCGGCCAAAGTGGCCGCGGGGCGCGGCGGGGGAGCGGCCGACGCCGGCGCGCGGCAAAGCCCCCTGCGAAGCGTTGCCTTGCACGCCCGCGGAAGGCACACCATCGACAAATGCATTGCCGCGCTGGCGCCCTCGGAAACGCGGGCGCCCCTGTCACAATAGTTCCAGAAGGGGCCCAGCGGGCAACTCCTCAGACACTCCGAAACATTAAGCCCGGGAAGCGCGGGTCTGGACCAAGAACAACGCGTTGCTGGCGAGGCCCCGCCCGGACGCCAGCGCCGCGGACGAGCTGTCGAACTTGGTGGGCTGTCTCGCCTCCCCCGCGCGCGCCGAAGTTACAAATCGAACGAAGACCTTCGCGGGGGCCCTGGCTTCCATGACGCGCTTCGTTGGGCTCTCGCGGGCCGCCGAATCCCCGCCCCTCTCTCGCCGCCCGTTTTTTTTCCTGCCCCCCCCTCCCGCGCGCCCGCCCCCAACCCCCCTCCTCCCGCGGTTCGCGAGCGCGCTGGCCGGCGGCGCTCATATACGCCGGGAAAACTCGACGCCGGCCTTCTCGACGCGCCCCCCGGGGCGCGCCGCAGCAGAGGGCGGCGCCAGCGGGATCGGGAACGGGCTTCGCTGCCCCCGCGAGGCCACCAGTCCGGGGCGGCCGCCGGCTCCCTGTGCATGGCCAGGATGAAGGGGTCCTTGGCCGCGCTTCGAGCATCGCTCCGACGGGGTGCCGCGGGGCCCTTCGCGCTCAGCGGCCGGCGTCGGCGCGCCCGGGATCGCGGGCCTGCGGAGGAGGCCCTGCGCAGAGCCGGCTGGCCCTCCTGGCCCTCGCGCGCCCCGCGGTGGACGCGGGCCCCTGCAGCGGGGCCCGACGCGCCCCCGGCGGCCCGGGGGCCCGCGCAGTACTTGGCCACCTCCCACTGAACGCGCCGGGGAGTAAAATAAGTTGCCGCGCTACCACTGAGGCGCTTGCGCAGCACTTCGGGCACCATCGGGCCGCCCGGGCTGACTTGGTCGTATACGCCAGCCGTATGCAGCGCCTCGCAGACGCAACGCAGCTCGCGGGCGATTCGGCCGCTGGACGACAGGTCTTTCCCCTGACTGTACTCCCTGAGCCAGAGCATGGGATCACCGCCCACCCTGAGCAAATTCTTGCACGTAGTCAAGGCATTCGGTGGGGCGTCCATCGGGTGGTCGCTGAACTGCCTCTGCGGGCTCTCTGTGACCGTTTCGCGCCAGAGATTGCGTCGCTCTCGACCGTCGAAATCCCCAGCCCCAAGCCGCGCATCCTCACTCTCGGGCCCCCAGTGGTGCTGCAGCGGGAGGTGGCAAGGGAGGCTGGCCGATGCAACCTCGAAAGTCACCTCCCGCAGCTGCAGCCTTGGGTGCGCCCTCGGCGGAGCCCAGGCGCCCTCTCGAGAAGACGGCCCTGGCGTCGACGAGCGCGGGCGCTTTTGGGGTCAGCATGCTCGCCACCCGGACGCCATTCCCGTCGGCGTATACCAGGGGGAAAACAAACCAACCTCGCTTTTCACCACCCTCGCTTCCAAGAGATACCAAACGATGCCACATTGCAGTCTGTACTGGTCAGGCCGCTCGGCGAGGAGGCGCGTGGTATGGCTTGGCTTGGCTTGGAAGCGAAAGCAGGGTAGGTAATTCACGCTCTGATATACACCAAACCCGCATCCGCAGTGCTGGTCTGGGGGAAGCCGACACGCGACGCGTCGAGCTCCGTTCCCACGGCCGAACGCCCCGCGGGGTCCGCCGGCACGCAGGCGCCGCCTGCGATGGTGGGGAGTTTCTGCTCGGCGGGCGCGGGCTTGCCCTCATCCATGAGGGGCGGCGTGTCCGCGCCGCCCATGGCCGCGGGCGGGGCCTTGGCACGCAGGCGACGGACTGGCGTCGGCGGGAAGGCGCCGCCGAAGAAGCCATCCGGCTTTGGGGTGAACACCTGGCCGGGGAGCATCGGCGTCTGACCGTTTTCTGACTCACGCCGCTCTCCATGCACACAGGAGCGATAGCCCCGAATGATGGCGCTGAGCAGCTCGCCGGCCGCCAGGTAGTTCTTAAATCGATGCAACGTGCGCCTGCGCCGACCTCCCGACTCAGCCGGGAGAAAGCCGTCCTCGGCATCGGATAGCATCGAGACGGGCCACTTTCCATGTCTTGACAAGCCAGGTTTTGGAAATACTCGTTCCCATGTGGGGCGCGGATCCACCACTCGCCGCCACCCAAGGAGAACAACAGCACTCTCTCGTGATCGACTTCGTCACTTTCACACTCCGTGCCGACCTCGTGGCCTGGGGACATCTCACTGTACCACTCCCCCTCCTGGCCGAACGGGAACAGCGCCATGTCCCGCAGCAGCTGGACGTCGAACCCCGCAGAGTCTGTTGGCAAGGAAACCGAGGGCGTTCGCGAGCACCGGCGGGCCGACGAACCAGAAGTAGAACTCGCCCCGAGCGTGGCTGGGATGCGCAGGCTGGGGGCGCAAGCCGTCGGGGCACCTCGCACACGGCGGGCACTCCAGCACCGCCAGGTCCAGGCAGGCCGCCCCGACCCACGCCAGCCGCTCCGGCGAACCCTAATCCTCAGGAGGAGGAGGAGGAGGAGGAGGAGGAGGACGAGGAGGAGGAGGAGGAGGAGGAGGAGGAGGAGGGAGGAGGAGGGAGGAGGAGGAGCAGGGGGAGAGGAGGAGAGGAGGAGGAGGAGGAGGAGGAGGAGGAGGAGGAGGAGGAGGAGGAGGAGGAGGAGGAGGGGGAGGAGGAGGAGGAGGAGGAGGAGGAGGAGGAGGAGGAGGAGGAGGAGGAGGAGGAGGAGGAGGAGGAGGAGAGGAGGAGAGGAGGAGGAGGGTAGGTAGACGCGGCGGGTGGCGCTCGGACTCGAAAACCACGGGCTCGAGGCTCGGCAGCTTCCAGCGCGAGGACCGCCCACGAAGGCTGGGCGGCGGGACCGCCCTACACCACTGGCGGACTGGAGCGAGACAGGAGTCTTGAGCGTACGTGATAGCAGCGGGAGACACCGACAACTCCCCCTTTAACCTTCCAATGCAAGCACACGCACACGCTGCGCCCACGCTCCCAAGGCCACGAACCCTCGCAAACTGCGCTGGGCGTCCACGCTCCCGGGGCCTGCCTCTGGGGGCGTCCTTGGGTGCCCGGAGGTTTCCTGGGGCCTACGCACCCAGTCAGTAAGTCTAGGATTCTGACCGCGGGGCGCACCATCCACGAGCGGGCACGCGCAGTGGAATACGTTGCCCAGAGAGGACGCTGGCATTAGTCCGAGCCAACCAATACGGCGCTCCGTGGTCCATAGGGAACTCCACTGGAGGCCATAAAGGACGTTGGCATGCGCCCGCGCCACCCAGCACAGGGCTTCGTAGCCCCAAAGGGAGATCCACCGAAGGCCACAGAAGTGCATCGAACAGTTGACTCTACCTGTTTTTAACTGACACAACCCCTGCGGCTAATCCCCAACCTGGCACCGGTAGACGACGGAACACTACTAAAAGACAATCCTGGGCATAAGCAACTTCCAGGACAATGCATTCCCTGTGATCGGGTCCAGAATTGAAGGCCATGAAGAGATCACGATTTCGGAGGACTGGGGCCCGCCCGGGAGGAGGAGGGGGAGCAGGAGGAGCAGGAGCAGGAGGAGGACCAGTGCAAACCCAAGATTCATCAATGATGTTGGAATAAACCGTCCCTCCAAGCTCCCTCTTCACAGGCCCCATACAAAAGCTCATTTCCACTGGGAGAACGGCCTCGTTGTGAGACAACCGTTTGAAGACCCTGAAACATGCCAAACTACCATTCTCGGGACTCACACGCCGCGGATAACCCTGACTGGTGCGTCTTGACGATTTTGAGCCGTGCCAGAACACCCATCCTGGGACTTCAGCACCGCGAGCCAGCGTAATTGTTGCACCCTCAGAATCCTGAAACTTTCAAGACACTACTTCTGGTACGTTGACCATGGGAATCCGTGGAACTCTGGTAAATGTTGAAAGCGAATGTGCGCGGCGCTAATGCGAGAGCTACATGTTGAAAACGAGCCGCCCTCAATCCGCGAAACTCTTGTACTTTTTGTGCATGAATGTGCGCAGCGCTGAAACGAGAACCGCATTTTGAAAACCGTCGCCCGCCCTTAACCCGTGAAGGCCTTGCAAATGCTTAAAACGAATGCACGCGGCACTAAAGCGAGAACCACATCTTGAAAACGACCCGCCCTCCATCCGTGAAACTGTTGCCGATGTTTCAGCTTCAAGGTCGCAGATGGTGAGGACGTCTCAGGCGAAACGCCCAGCCCGCCCTTTCGACTGGCCGCGGGGTGCGACATTGTAGGGCGACGCAATCTATACATATCCACTGCTCCCTGGCCAGGCCCATCCTGAACACAGCAGCTGTGTATACGCCACGCCCTCCTGGTTTGGCCAGGAGGGCGTATACGCAGCTCCTGGGTTCAGGATGGGCCTGGCCAGGGAGCAGTGGATATGTATAGACTTCGTCCCCCGACATTGAGGAACTACTTATAGGGAAAAAGAATGGAGGAAGAGGAGGGCGAGGATGCCGCTGACGAAGAGGACTCGTTTTGGAGGCTCGCGTCAGCACAGCTCCGCTCCGCCGCCGCCGTGCTGGTCGAGAATGCACAGGGCCTGCTTGAGTGCCTCGATCTCCTGTCGGGGGGGCGTAAGTAAGACCCGGGTACAGGGGACTCGGAAACCCCCGGCGACGAGGTCGTCAAAAAAATGACGAGGCCGAGCCTGCATTCTGACGAGGCCTCCCGCCGCAGACCTCCCACGAAACTCCGACTCGTCAAAGTCCGAGCCGCGGTCGTCAAAAAAAACGAGGGCGAGCCCGAGTCCTGGCAAGCCCGTGTCTTACGCTCCCCCGATCCTGGTCGCGCTTGATCTTGAGCTCCTCAGCCGTCGGACCGCTGGGGCCCAGGCAGGGCGGCCCCAGGGCCTCCAGCTGGCCCAGCGCCTTGTCCAGCAGGTCCTGCTGGCCCACGAGGCTCTCGCGGGCGTCGTGGTTGTCCGCGGCGGCCTCGCTGAGCTGCCCCTCGACCGACTTCAGGGTCTCCCTCTTCGTGGCGTTCGACTTGCCCATGTCGGTCTGCATCGCAAGCCACTCCTGGACGAAGAAAAACTGCATAAACATCAACGTCGCTCGGACTTCAGTGCGGACCGTCGACAGTTTATGATTACGCAGTTTTTCTCCTTCGAACTCCTGCTCGGCCTCTTTCTCCGCCTTCTCCGTCTCCGTGGCCGCACGGTCGAAGTCGGACTTCACGACCTCGAGCAACGCCATGATGCCGGTCGCCGAGCCCTGGTCGCCGGTGTAGACGTCGTTGAAACCGGCGTCGGGCATGTCCTCCTTCAGCGTGCTGCCGGGGGCCGTGCCGTTGCGGGACAGCGACTGCGCCTGGAACAGCGACAGCTGCGACGTGCCCTGATTCGCGGCCTCCCGGTAGAACTTGTCGAGCATGTCCATCGCGGTCGCGACCACCTGGCTGCTGTTCCTGGCGCTGGAGATGGCCATCTTGGCCTCTGCCGCCTCGAAAGACCTGATGGCAGCCGCTTTGTTGAACTCCGTGGCCAGGTCCTCGATCTCAGTCTCGAGGGTCTCCGCCTGCTCGGCGAGCTTCTCGTGGCGGACCTCACTGCTCTGCAAGAAGCTGTTGATCTCCTTGAGCTCCTTGGCGGCGTAGTCTCGCTTCTGCTCCGCCAGGCCGACCTCCTTATCACACCAGCCCTTGTGATTCGCCTCCGCCGCGGCCTCCTTCAGCAGGCGCTCGACGAGAGCCTGGATCAGTTGTTTCACCTTTGCGAGGGGATCCTCGGCGGCGGTGGAGGTCAGGTTGAGGAGGGCCACGCTCTTCAAGGACCCAGCCTTGCTGCGAAGCAGCGACAGAGCCCGTGCCTGGGGGGGGCGGGCAAACAGGTACAAATATCGCGAACGAAAATCTGCATAAACATCAACATTCGGAGGGCCGCGCGGATCTATTGGATCGGCGCTGGACCTCCCTGGCGCGCTCTGCGCGCCAGGGGCGGCGCCAGGGGCGGCGCCAGGGGCGGCGCCAGAGGCGGCGCCAGGGGCGGCGCCGGAGGCGCAGACAGGGGGGCCCAGCGCCGAACCAATAAATCCACGCGGACCTCCGAAAGTGTACACGTCGTTCATTTCTAATCGTGCTCGTTTCTAATTGTGCTCGTTTCTATTTGTTCCTGGCCCCCTAGTGGCCAGGAATAGGCCCAGGAAAGAACAATTAGAAATGAAAGGATCTTGGCCCCCCAAAAAACTAAAGAACCTCCGAAGAGTTAGAAATGAGCAGTGTGCATCTTTGAGCCGATGTTCGTTCCTCTGGTAATTACCGATGCCGCTACTTGACGGACCTCTCCAGGGTGCGTTCCGACCAGAACTTCGAGAGCTCCCCGGGACGAGCAGCGGTGTGGGTACCCGTCGGCTTTCCATTGGACTCCGTTGCCGAGAGATCGGGCGTCTTGATCATCTGAGTACAGTCGGCCTTGATTGGACAGGACACGCGAGAGGACACAAGACCCTTCCGAGGGCCACATCGCCGTAGGAGTGTAAGAAGGCTCGTGTCGAGAGGCACAGGACACAAGGGTACCCTTGAGCTGGCAGGGTCGACCTACTAATCTGGGCCGCCTGTACGGGGTCCCTGGGCGTCCGGACCTCTTCCCCAGGGGTCGTTTTTTTGTTCAGCCGCGTCGTCTTATGACGGCCCTGTGGCCCTGTGAGGACCGCCAGGAGGGCGAGGACGACGAAACACCGCCTCCTCCTCCTCCTCCTCCTCCTCCTCCTCCTCCTCCTCCTCCTCCTCCTCCTCCTCCTCGTCAACACCCTCCCCCTCCCCTGAGTCAGCTTGGGGCCTGCCCCCATCCTCCTCCTCCTCCTCCTCCTCCTCCTCCTCCTCCTCCTCCTCCTCCTCCTCCTCGTCCTCGTCAACACCCTCCCCCTCCCCTGAGTCAGGTTGGGGCCTGCCCCTATCCTCCTCCTCCTCCTCCTCCCTCCTCCTCCTCCTCTCCTCCTCCTCCTCCTCCTCCTCATCCTCCTCCCCCCCCTCCTCCTCCCCCTCCTCCTCCTCCTCCTCCTCCCCTCCTCCTCCTGGGCACTTTCCCTCCCCGGCATGCCAGCTGAGGGTCTCGCTCCGCCGCGCCTCCTCCGCCGCTGAGGCCGTCGCGCGCAGGGCGCTCCTCCGCCGCGCCGCGGCGGCGGCGCCCGTGGGCCGAGACCTGCACCAGGGCCGGCGCGGCCGCCCGGGCGCCCGCGCGCGCGCCCCGCTGCGCCAGCTCTGCGGCGCCCCCCTTGGCCGACTCCTCCTGCCGGGGGCCCGCGGAAGGCGCGGGCGGAGAGCAGGAACCGTGGGAGGGAGGGACGCCTCCTGCGACGGGGGCAGTCAAACACCCCCCCAGCCTCCTCCTCCTACTCCCCCTCCTCCTCCTCCTCCTCCTTCTCCTCCTCCTCCTCCTCCTCCCTCCTCCTCCTCCTCCTCCTCCTCCTCCTCCGCCTCCTCCTCCTCCTCCTCCTCCTCCTCCGCCTCCGCCTCCTCCTCCTCTCCTCCTCCCCCTCCTCCTCCTCCTCCTCCGCCTCCTCCTCCTCCTCCTCCTCTCTCCTCCTCTCCTCCTCCTCCTCCTCCTCCCCTCCTGCTCCTCCTCCTCCTCCTCCTCCTCCTCCTCCTCCTCCTCCTCCTCCTCCTCCTCTTCTCCTCCTCCTCTCCTCCTCCTCCTCCTCCTCTCCTCATCCTCCTCCTCCTCCTCCTCCTCCTCCACTTGGCTACACTGAATAATGACCCTCGGCAAGAGTGACCTTTGGTCCGCGACTTCCGGGGGCCGCGGGGAGACCGAACTGGAGCGCGCAAGCCGCTGCCATCGCATCGAATTCGACCATCTGGACACCGCAGTGCGCCCGCACCATCTGAAGACCAGGGTGCCACACACACACACACACACACACACACACACCGAGACGACCGTGGTCGATCGAACCGGATCGGATCGGATCGGATCGGTTCTAGAGCTGGTTTGTCTGACGCCGGCCCAAATCTCTGAGGCGCCAGTGCTCAAGGCCCCCGGCAATTCGGATTTCGCGTGGCATGCGAATGGACAGAGTTCGCGGGCCCCCTGCGGCCACTTCAAATCTGAGTAACCAAAAGCCCGCGGGAGCTTTCTCATTGCTTCATCCTTGTGGATGCCAAGACAATGGACACTCTAACAATCCCATCATTGAATTCAATCTGTGTTTTAAATGTGTAAAGTGTAAACATGTTCTGAACATGTTTCAAGCATTATTCTTACATATCTAGAACATGTTCGAAACATCTTTTAGACATCTGAAAATTATTTGGCAGCATGCTTCCTCTCCATTAACCGACTTCCACAACTTTCTCCTCAATGCGGGGGGCCTCGGGCCCCCGGTCATTCAGAATCTGAATGGCCGCAAGTCCTGGGCCCCCGGGGCCATTCCAAATGTGAGTGGCCAGGGACCAAGGCCGATTTTGCCATGCGTTTCTCATCATTGGCAGGGAGCAGGTCTCGCGGCCACCCGTCACTCGCAATCCGATTTGCCATGCGTTTCTCATCATTGGCAGGGAGCAGGTCTCGCGGCCACCCGTCACTCGCAATCCGAGTGGCCAGAGGTCGCGGCCCACCCGGTCATTTCGGCGGTGGACAAACCTCCCTTTAGAAAACCTCCCCTTAGTGAAAACGGCCCGGTACCGAAACCGACGGACCTGGACCCGCCAAAATGACGGCCGCGACGCCCTCTCTCGAACCGAAAACGGCCCATTCCTTAATCGACGTGTCAGGGCAGGAGGTCGATCCACCTCCGATCACTCCAAATCTGAATGGCGGCGGTCCCAGGGCAGCTTCCTTACTCGGGTCGGGCGAAAGGGGGGGGGGTAGCAAAGGGGGGGTTTCAGAATCAGCTCACGTAGCTGATTTTCCCAGCGCCTCCCGGCGCACGAGGCGGCCATGTATCGAGGAATGGGCCCCTCGGTGAGGCCGAAACCAGCTGCGTGCAGCAAATTTCGGACCCCCCCCTTTCCCAATCCCCCCCCCTTCTCGCCCGGCCCGACTCACTGCTGTTCCTCATCGGGGGTGGCCCATGGGCACTCCGACTCTGAGCGGCCGGAGGTCTGGAGCCCCACAGGCTACTCCACAGCAGCTCCCTTACGGCTCTTCCTGAGCGGGGTTGGCCCCCCTGGGCACTCCGACTCTGAGCGGCCCGAGGCCCGGAGCCTCCCCGGGCCACCCCACGGCGGCCCCCCCCCCCAGACTCTTGGGCGGCGCCCCTGCGCCCCTGCCCGCTCACAGGCCCGGAGCCCCCCAGATACTCCGAGCGGCCATAGGGGCCCTGCGGGGCAGTGTTTCCACTGGTTGCGCTTTGCTTTCGGCTATAGACGCAAGAGTGACCCTGGGTAAGAGTGACCCTTGGTGCGCGACTTTTCTTTCGGCTAGACGCACGAGTGACCCTGGGTACGAGTGACCTCTGGTGCGCGACCTTTTGGGGGGCCGCGGGGGGACCACACCTGGACGCGCAGGCAGCTGCTGCTGCCTCGTTTTCAGCCATCATGGGGACCCATCTGTGCCCGCACCAAGGTCACTCCGGCGAAAGGTCACTCTTACGTCTAGTCGATTCTTGAGGTGCCCCCGCAGCATCCGGCCACTCAGAATCTGAGTGGCCAGAGGTCGGGGACCCCCGCCCATTCCAAATCGGAGTGACCGGGGCCCGTGGCAGCTGTCTTATCGGGCTGCCGTCACTGGCCCGGGGCCCGGAGCAGATTTCTCATTGGTTTGTCCTCGCAGGGGAGGGCGGCCCCACGACCCTGGGCCACTCAGGATCTGAGTGGCTGGAGGTCAGGGCCACATCGGACTCACCGGATGAAGAAAAAGAGGATGGCAGGGGAAGAGAGGGGCTGCGACCTCTGGCCACTCAGATTCTGAACGGCCCGGGGCCTCCGGCCCTGCGGGCAAGTGATCTCATGATCGGGCCGAGTCGGATCGGTTGGTTGAGATCGATCGATCGAGCCAGGTCGGAGGGGCACCCTGATGACGTATAGCGGATCCTTCTTCTCCACCCCCCCTCCGATGCATCCTGGCGTCACCTCTAGCTGACATATTTTCCTGCAGCCATACGCTGGACATCCAAGTCCGCACTGCCCGTGCTCTGTGCCGCCGTGGCGGACGCGCGCCTCCCGCGGGGGGGCAAGACGGTCAAGCACTTTGGCTAAGCGTGTCGCGGCGGCGACACTGGCGACACGCTATTCCCTGCAAGCGGGAAGCGTACGAGAACGGCACCCATACACCGTGCCATGCTTGGACTCACTTCAGGCCCCTTTCGAACGCGGCACGGTGAATCATCGTTATGTTTCAAGGGGCCGAGAAAATATGCATCGTACCATTCCCAGGCCGAGGACCGACGAAGCCACGAGAGACGCCAACGCGGCACGGTGCATACTAACGCATCGATCTGGATCGCGGGGCGGGGGGCCCGGAGCAGCTCGGGACGTTCACGACTGCGGACCGGGACGTGGTCAGCGTGTCGCGCCGAGGCGTGGTGGGCCTAGAATCGGCGGAGCGACACACGAAGCCAAAGTTCTCGACCGTAGACGTGGGGTGAAGTAATGTGCACCTTTCGGGCACCTTTCAGGCCCACGGTGGCAGTTTGCGGGCAATTCGGTGCCCCTCCAGGGCCAGATTCCTGCAATCCTCCTCCTCCTCCTCCTCCTCCTCCTCCTCATCTTCCTCCACCTCATCCTCATTCTTCCTCCCTCCTCCTCCTCCTCCTCCTCTTCCTTTTCCTCCTCCTCCTCCCCTTCCTCCCCTCCCCCTCCTCCTCCTCCTCCTCCTCCTCCTCCTCCTCCTCCTCCTCCTCCTCCTCCTCCTCCTCCTCCTCCTCCTTTCCTCCTCATCCTCCTCCTCATCCTCCTCCTCATCCTCCTCCTCCTCTTCTCTCCTCCACCTCCTCCTCCTCCTCCTCCACCCTCGGCCCCGCCACGTTTGTTGCCCCTCCGGTGCCGTCTGGTCGATCCTGCAGCGACTTTATCATCTCGGTGGCCGAGACGATCGCCTGGAGCTCTCTGGCCCGCATGTCGGTCCGCTGGTTCCAGATGACGGCCTTCTCGTGGCACTGCGCGGAGAGGTCGGCCAGGTAGTTCTGGTCGTCCAGTAGCTTGGCCGAGACGGCCGACAGGTCCGCCGAGGCCGTCGAGATCGCCTTCGTCTCCGTGGCCTGCGTGGTCTTGCTGGCGCTGATGGCGCTCTCGTGCACTCCGAGGGCGTCCTCCTTCTCCTGCAGCAGGGCCAGGTAAACCTTCTTGGCCTCCACCGCCGCCTCCTGGACCTCCACCCTCTTGCTCTTGAAGTCCGTCATCAAACCCTCCAGCGTGGTGATGATGTCGGCCGAGTGGAACTCGTAGACCGAGTCCGGAATGTCCAGCGGGTCCGTGAGTGCCTGCAGCAACGCAGCGGCTGGCTTGCCCTGGACGTGCGGGAATCCCAGCACCTGGGCCAGCGCAACTGCGTGTCCTATCCGTTTGGCCAGCGGCGCAACGGAGATGAAACTGGTGGCCACCTTCGCCGCCTGCAGTTCGCGGATGGCAGCCTCCAGCGCGTGAACGGCGTTCGTGAGGTCGAGCTCGTCCTTCTCGCTCCTGAGGGCCTCCTCGTGGTGCTCCGCTGTCATGGTCTGGATCTCCGCCTGCAAATCGGATATGGAGCCTGTGGCTTTCTGGAGGCCTTTGTCAGCGTCGTTCCGCCGTATCATCGCCGCCTGGATGTCTGCTTCCAGCGCGTCCTTCGTGTCTTCGCCTGTGGTGATGGCCTCCGACTTCTCCGTCATGGTGTCCTTGCAGAAGCAGCTGAAGTCGTTGTACGTCCCAGCCTCGAACGTGCCCTCCTTGAGCACCTTCTCCCGTAGGTCGTCGAGCAAACCCACCACCTTCTCGGTCGGACTGGCCTGCCGCGTGGACGGCAAAACGTGCCAGCGGGCACAGCAGTTGCTTGCGAGCACCGCGTGGGAAGAGGTGGGACAAGGCGGAAGGGGAGCAAGGAGCAAGTGGGAGGGGAAGCAGGGGAGGCGGGAACTGGGGAAAGTAGGAAAACGTAGGGTGGTTCAATCTTGAACAGTCTGCGCAAGCAGAAGCTCTGGGCCCAGTCTTGAACCATCACTGCGGGTTCGTTTCTGAGAATCCTGGGGCGCGAAAGCTCCCTCCCCAGGGGCGCGTCGCAACCTTGAACGCCCGCGCTGGGGTCACCGCCGCGCCTACTCTGCGCCAGCGAACTGTCTGCAGCCAGAGGCAACAACCAACAACAACAAGAGCCCGCAGCCCCCCCCCCACAATGGGCCACCAAGTTGTGAATATGTTGTTATCTTGCTCCCTCCCCCTTCCCTCCTCCTACTCCCTCCGCCTCCCCCTCGTCGTCCTGCACCGCAACGCTTGCGTACACCACGGCGCCTGTGTACACCACAACAGCCGTGTGCACCACAACGCCTGTGTACACCACAGTGCCTACGTGCATCACAACGCCTGTGTACACCACAGTGCCTGTGTACGCTCTAGCAGCCACGTGCGCAACAGCGCATGTGTACACCACACTGCCTGCCTGCCCCAAAATGCTTGTGTACAGCGCCTGTGCACACCAATGCCTTCGTGCACCACAACGCCTGTGTGCACACCACAACGCCAAACGTGCCAGCGGGCACAGCAGTTGCTTGCGAGCACCGCGTGGGAAGAGGTGAGACAAGGCGGAAGGGGAGCAGGGAGCAAGTGGGAGGGGAAGCAGGGGAGGCGGGAACTGTGGAAAGTAGGAAAACGTAGGGTGGTTCAATCTTGAACAGTCTGCGCAAGCAGAAGCTCTGGGCCCAGTCTTGAACCATCACTGCGGGTTCGTTTCTGAGAATCCTGGGGCGCGAAAGCTCCCTCCCCAGGGGCGCGTCGCAACCTTGAACGCCCGCGCTGGGGTCACCGCCGCGCCTACTCTGCGCCAGCGAACTGTCTGCAGCCAGAGGCAACAACGAACAACAACAAGAGCCCGCAGCCCCCCCCCCCCCACAGTGGGCCACCAGGCTGTGAATATGCTGCTATCTTGCTCCCTCCCCCTTCCCTCCTCCTACTCCCTCCGCCTCCCCCTCGTCGTCCTGCACCGCAACGCTTGCGTACACCACGGCGCCTGTGTACACCACAACAGCCGTGCGCACCACAACGCCTGTGTACACCACAGTGCCTACGTGCATCACAACGCCTGTGTACACCACAGTGCCTGTGTACACTCCAGCAGCCACGTGCGCAACAGCGCATGTGTACACCACAGTGCCTGCCTGCCCCAAAATGCTTGTGTACAGCGCCTGTGCACACCAATGCCTCCGTGCACCACAACGCCTGTGTGCACACCACAACGACAAACGTGCCAGCGGGCACAGCAGTTGCTTGCGAGCACCGCGTGGGAAGAGGTGGGACAAGGCGGAAGGGGAGCAAGGAGCAAGTGGGAGGGGAAGCAGGGGAGGCGGGAACTGGGGAAAGTAGGAAAACGTAGGGTGGTTCAATCTTGAACACTCTTCGCAAGCAGAAGCTCTGGGCCCAGTCTTGAACCATCACTGCGGGCTCGTTTCTGAGAATCCTGGGGCGCGAAAGCTCCCTCCCCAGGGGCGCGTCGCAACCTTGAACGCCCGCGCTGGGGTCACCGCCGCGCCTTCTCTGCGCCAGCGAGCTGTCTGCAGCCAGAGGCAACAACGAACAACAACAAGAGCCAGCAGCCCCCCCCCGAAAGTGGGGCTACCAGGCTGTGAATATGCTGTTATCTTGCTCCCTCCCCCTTCCCTCCTCCTACTCCCTCCGCCTCCCCCTCATCGTCCTGCCCCTCCTCCTCTGATATCCTGCTGCACCGCAACGCTTGCGTACACAACGACGTCTGTGTACACCACAGCAGCCGTGTGCACCACAACGCCTGTGCACACCACAGTGCCTACGTGCATCACAACGCCTGTGTACACCACAGTGCCTTTGTACACTGCAGCAGCCACGTGCGCAACAGCGCATGTGTACACCACAGTGCCTGCCTGCCCAAAAATGCTTGTGTACAGCGCCTGTGCACACCAATGCCTCCGTGCACCACAACGCCTGTGTGCACACCACAACGCTAAACGTGCCAGCGGGCACAGTAGTTGCTTGCGAGCACCACGTGGGAAGAGGTGGGACAAGGCGGAAGGGGAGCAGGAAGCAGGTGGGAGGGGAAGCAAGGAAGGTAGGAAAACGCAAGGCGTCGGCTTTGCGGTAGGTCCGTGTCGTGCCGCCTTGAACAATGGTTTCTGGCACCGCGTGGATCGGCCCATTCTTGAACCATGATTTCGCATTGCGGGTTCGTTTCTGAGAATCCTGGGGCGCGAAAGCTCCCTCCCCAGGGGCGCGTCGCAACCTTGAACGCCCGCGCTGGGGTCGCCGCCGCTCCTTTTCTGTGCCAGCGAACTGTCTTCAGCCAGAGGCAACAACGAACAACAACAAGAGCCCATATGCGTTTATCTTGCTCCCTCCCCCTTCCCTCCTCCTACTCCCTCCGCCTCCCCCTCACCGTTCTGCCCCTCCTCCTCTGATATCCTTCTGCTGCACCGCAACGCTTGCGTACACAACGACGTCTGTACACCACAGCAGCCGTGTGCACCACAACGCCTGTGTACACCACAATGCCTACGTGCATCACAACGCCTGTGAACACCGCGATGCCTGTCCACACCACAGCGACCACGTGCACCGCAACGCACGCGTACGCCCCAGTGCCTGCGTGCACCATAGCGCCCGCGAACACCAAAGTGCACTGGCCCTGCATGCACGTCGATGCCTACGTGCGCCGGAGCGCCTGTGTGCTCCTTACAGAATGTCCGATGGAAGCCGCGAGGATTCACACTTGTGGCCGGCTTCCAAGCGTTATCATTGCGGGGGGGAGAGTCTGAGAGGGGGGGGTAACCCGTGCTACCCCCGGGGGCCTGAAAAGAACAAGCACCATCCCCCAAAACGCTTCGCTGCAGACGTCCTGGGGAAACAATCCGACATCCTCCTTCGACCTCCATGCGACCCCCGCCCTCTTGGGGCCCTCTTGGGCCGTCTTGAGCGCCTCTTGGGCCGTCTTGTGGCCCTCTTGTAGACTTTTTGGGCTGTCTTGGGGTGGTCTTGGGGGCTTCTTGAGCCGTCTTGGAGCGTCGGAAAAACGAAAATGTGAGAAGGCCCCAATCCTGTAAAAACTGGTATCACATCGACGCTGCAGACATCCTGGGGAAACATTCTGCCAGCCCCCTTCGACCTCGTTACGACCCCCGCCCGTTGCGCTCGCGCTACAGAAGGCTACGATCCCTCCGGAAGGACGCTGCGCCCGGGCTCTCAGGGCCACGGTGCCCGTGTGAAATGTGTCGGGCTCGAGCTACCAGGGCCACGATCCACGGGAATTGCGCTAGGATTCTCTCGAGTTACACGGCGCCTGCGCTCCGAGGGCCACGTTCCCGAGAAAGTTACGCTGCATCCGCTCGTGCGCCCAGGATCGATCATAAACTACTCTACGTCCGCGCTCCCAGGGCCAGAACCCCTCGTGAATTACGCTGCGTTCGCGCTTCCAGATCCACGACCCCTTGTGAACTTACGCTGCGTGCTCCCAGGGACTGCTAGGGCACTCTGGGGCGCCAAGGTCCGTCACAAGTGACATAATGTTAGCCATCGTGGGCCCCAATGAAGGCGTTATTGCACTGTGGAGGTGAAAGCTATGCCGTGAAAGCTATGTGGTGAAAGCTATGTCGTGTAAGCTATGTGGCCTGAGCTGTGATTGGGACAACATATTGTGTAAGCTATGTAGTGCAAGCTGTGTCGTGTAAGCTATGCGCTGTAAACTGGAGGTGGAAGCTATGGGGTGTAAGCTATGTGGTGTAAACTATGTTGTGTAGGCTATGCGGTGTGAGCTACGTGGTGCAAGCTACGTGGTGTAAACTATGTGATCGAAGAATTGTAAGCTCAAAACAAGAGGCGTCCACGAGGCGGCACTGGCGGCAACGCGGCGAAAACCCAACGTACCCCAAAAGGCATGGCGCCCACGAGGCGGTCACGAGGCGGCAACGTGGCGCAAACCCAACATACCACACAAGCACGGGGCGCCTACGAGGGGCCCACGAGGAGCCACGGGCGGCAACGTGGCGAAAACCAACCATACCCAACTAATTACTTAAGACATCTACCGAGAAACCAACCATACTTGGAAACACTGCTTGAGGAGCAAGTGATTCGCTCGCGTCATCCTGATCAAATTCTGCAAAATAAGCGTGTCGTTTGAGACATACTTAACACATGCAAATTCCGGTATTGCCTAATTATGTATCGAGCATAAAGCCAAGCACAGTTGTTTCGCAAGAGGTATCCTGAAACATCAATCCGCCAGTCCCCTTCGACCTCGTTATACTAGAAGAAACGATATGCTGGCGCCCTCCAGCCGAGGCACGAGGCATGCTTACGCCGCACGCAACGACAAGCCTGGCCCGAGCCCTCTCCGGGCAAACGATTCGCAGTTTGAAATAGCACCAGAGACCTGGGAAGAGAGTTGGAGGCGGCGGGAGGATCTGAACTGGATGAGCCTAGAGGAACACTTTCAAGAGGGGGGATGAGGGCAATCCGCTCAAAATCTGTCCCGGACCCCTCCCAGCGGGGTCCAGCTGGTGAAATGTTTCACCCTGGACCCGTTCTTGACGGTTCCGCGGTGCGAGGAGGGCCCCCGAAGGCTGCAAAAGACCACCAAGCCTCTCGAACCCAGGACCTCGAGCCTCGCACCCCTCCCCCTCCTGCTGCCCGGAACCAGTGCTGGGCCACCTCTCAGACCCCCAGCCTGCTCCAAGGAGAGACAGCGCCGCTCGGGGATTTTCTGACCCGGGTCAATGTAGACCCAGGCCAGTCAAACTTTGCAGAATCCTGCAAGATCCTGCAAGATCCTGCGTCTAAACCAGGGTCAGCGCGAAGGATCCTGCAAAATCCTGCAGGATCCTGCGCCCAAACCCGGGTCAGTGCGACCCATGGCCCCTGCAGGATCCTGCAAGATCCGGCGCTCTGGCCGACCCCCGTTTGCATTGACCCCCGTCCCAAGGCTCGGGGGCGGCCAAGAGGGGGGCGTCCTAGAGGGGGGGTGCAAATCACGATCGGCGGCATGTGCGCGGCCCAGCGGGGGGGCCAGGAACGCATTGAAAGAAGAAAGGGCGCCATGAAATCTGGGGAGACATCACGGCCTCCGCCATGATATCCCCCCCCCCAGAGGATGATCAATGGAGAGGAAGCAGGCTGCCAAATACAGATGTCTAAACATGTTTCGAACATGTTTTAAACGCCGATCCGGCGTGTGAGTTTCAAGGAGTCTCAGCTACAGCCTCGAGGCTGAGCTTCAGCCTCTGGGGGGGTCGCCGGGGTGGCTCTGCCGGGGAAGGGGGGGTGGGGGGGGGGGGGGGGGTGCGAGTTTCCGGCGAACCCCGGGGCCGCTCCGGGGGAGTGGAAGATAGGGGGGGGGGGGGCGCCATGCTCCGCTTTTTCCGGCGCTTTGGAGGAGGGGGGGGGCCCAAGAGACCCCCAAGGGGTTCCAAGAGGGCCCCGAGTCGCCGAAAAATCGCTCCAAGACGCCCGAGATGGCCTCCAGACGGCCCAAGGTGTCTCCAAGACGCCCCAAGAAGCTTCCAAGAGGCCTCCCAAGAGGGCCCCAAGAGGCCAGAATCGTTGATTTTCATTGGTTTTTTCAGGGTTTTTAGCGTTCTTGCCTTTTCGGGCGTCCGACGCTCGAAGACGGCCCAAGAGGCCCCCAAGTCCGTCCCAAGACGGCCCACGATGCTTCCAACACGGCCCAAGAGAGCCCCAAGACGGCCCAAGAGGGCCCCAAGACGGCCCAAGAGGGCCTCTGGACAGCCCAAGAAGGCCCCAAGAGAGCCCCAAGAGGGGCCCAAGAGGGGGACCACGAACCGAAAGAACCGAGCTTTCCGCCCCAAGAGGCCCCCAGGAGGCCCCAAGAGACCCCCAAGGGGCCCCAAGAAGCCCACAAGAGGCCCAAAAGAGGTTCCAAGAGGCCCCAAAACAGCTCCCCAGAGGCCTCCAGACTGCCTCCGGCAGGCCCCCGGTTTCTTCCGCGGCACCGCCCAGGGCGCCACCGGCAGGATGTCCTCCGTCTCATCGTTTTCCTTCAAGTTATCGCCTCTTCCTCATTCTCCTCCTCCTCCTCTGCGACCTCACTCCTATCCCTCAACGATCGCGTCACCGAGTGCCTCTTCTTTGAAACATCCTCGCTCTTCAAACGCACATCCATACACACATGCATACATACCTACATTTAAACACATTTGCATACATAGAAAAACAATCTTCCAGACATACATACTTACATTCACACACATACACACATATTATCATACACACATACAAACATACATACAAACTAAATACATACATACGCGCACAAGCATACATACATACATACGTACCTACACACAGGCACACATGATCAATGCATGCATACATGCATGCACGCGTACATACACACACATATATCGTGAAACTCACCGCGTGCTCGAAACTTGAGAGAGACCGCGGGAAGTCGAGAGAAGCCGCGGAACGAGGCCTCTACTACTACTACCACTACTACCACAACCACTACTACTACTACTACTACCACTACTACTACTACTACTACTGCTACTACTACTACTACTACTACTACTAACTACTATACTACTACTAGTACTACAGGTGCGTTTCCCAACTAGTATGTGTGTGTGGGTGATGCTGTGTGCGCATGTCTGCGGCGCAGGTTAAGTGGTGTGACTGTGTGTGTGCGTTTGAGTGTGCGCCCATAATTTCTGCGTCTGGAGAATAACCCCGAGCGACCCGGATCGGCGGCACTGGCCGAAGGCCACTACAATACAGATGTCTAAACATGTTTCGAACATGTTTTAAATTTGTAAAAGCATGTTTGAAACATGTGTAGAACAGGATTTACTCTGTTTAAAACACTTCTTTCAATCAATGATAGGACTCGTAGAGCGCCCATTGTCACAGCATCCACAACCCTAGGGCGACGAAATCTATACATATCCACTAGAACCACGCGCGCGCTTCGCGCGCGCTTAGGTTCTGTCGAGTCACAGACCCAGGAATCGTTGTGAGAAGAAATTGGTGACGCGAAGCGTCGTGGGGGCGTCCTTGGACGTCTGGGGTCTCCTGGGGCCTCTTGAGGGGCCTCCTGGGGGCCTCCTGGCGGCCTCTTGGGGCGGAAGGCTCGAGCTTGCGGTTCGTGGTCCCCCTCTGGGCCCCCTCTTGGGCCCGTCTTGGGGCCCTCTTGGGCCATCTTGGGCGCCTCTTGGGCCGTCTTGGGGCCCTCTTGGGCTGTCCTGGGGCCCTCTTGGAAGCTTCTTGGGCCGTCTTGGGGCGGTCTTGGGCGCCTCTTGGGCCGTCCTGTAACGTCGGAAAGCCCAAAAGACAACTTTGTTGAAAATGTACGTTTTACGAAGGGAATGGGCCAATTTTGCGTCTAGGGGCCCTCTTGGGACGCATGTTGGAGGCTTCTTGGGGCCTCTTGGGGGCGTCCTTGGACGTCTGGGGTCTCCTGGGGCCTCTTGAGGGGCCTCCTGGGGGCCTCCTGGCGGCCTCTTGGGGCGGAAGGCTCGAGCTTGCGGTTCGTGGTCCCCCTCTGGGCCCCCTCTTGGGCCCGTCTTGGGGCCCTCTTGGGCCATCTTGGGCGCCTCTTGGGCCGTCTTGGGGCCCTCTTGGGCTGTCCTGGGGCCCTCTGGGAAGCTTCTTGGGCCGTCTTGGGGCGGTCTTGGGCGCCTCTTGGGCCGTCCTGTAACGTCGGAAAGCCCAAAAGGCGACTTTGTTGAAAATGTACGTTTTACGAAGGGAATGGGCCAATTTTTGCGTCTAGGGGCCCTCTTGGGACGCATGTTGGAGGCTTCTTGGGGCCTCTTGGGGGCGTCCTTGGACGTCTGGGGTCTCCTGGGGCCTCTTGAGGGGCCTCCTGGGGGCCTCCTGGCGGCCTCTTGGGGCGGAAGGCTCGAGCTTGCGGTTCGTGGTCCCCCTCTGGGCCCCCTCTTGGGCCCGTCTTGGGGCCCTCTTGGGCCATCTTGGGCGCCTCTTGGGCCGTCTTGGGGCCCTCTTGGGCTGTCCTGGGGCCCTCTTGGAAGCTTCTTGGGCCGTCTTGGGGCGGTCTTGGGCGCCTCTTGGGCCGTCCTGTAACGTCGGAAAGCCCAAAAGACAACTTTGTTGAACATGTACGTTTTACGAAGGGAATGGGCAAATTTTTGCGTCTAGGGGCCCTCTTGGGACGCATGTTGGAGGCTTCTTGGGGCCTCTTGGGGGCGTCCTTGGACGTCTGGAGGCCATCTTCAGCATCTCGGAGCCCTCTTGGAGGCCTCTTGGAAGTTTCTTGGGCCGTCTTGGGCGCTTCTTGGGCCGTCTTGTCTGACTGGGGAGGCCTCCGGCAAGCCCCGACGAGCCTCCGGGCCCCCCGGGGCGCACATTTGTGGTCGAGGTCCCGGCCCCGGGCCCCCGGACCCGGTGCGCCGATATATGTATACTGCTCCCTGACCAGGCCCATCCTCAACTCCGCAGCGGTGTATACGCCACGCCCTCCTGGCTTGGCCAGGAGGGCGCATACACAGCTCCTGGGTTCAAGATGGGCATGGTCAGGGAGCAGTGGATATGTATAGATTTCGTCGCCCGACAACCCCCCTCTTTGCCGCCACCGTTCCAAGGCTCCCGAGCCGCTCTTTGGCCACCCGGCCCGGGCCTTCTTGGAGGCGGCGCCCGCTTCATTGGCCGCCCCCGCGCTCAGCAGGCACGCGGCGAGCCCGAGGCAGGCCCGCGCCGCGGCCCCGCGGGCGGGCCGCGCCATCGCGCGCGCGGCCGCGCGCGCGGAAGAGGTGATGGGCCCGTTTCCCACCACCACCACCCCCATAAGTTGGGAGGGAGAGGGTGTCCTCCTCCTCCTCCTCCTCCTCTTCGACCTCCTCCTCCTCCTCCTCCTCCTCCTCCTCCTCCTCCTCCCTCCTCCTCCTCTTGCTCCTCCTCCTCCTCCTCCTCTTCGACCTCCTCCTCCTCCTCCTCCTCCTTCTCCTCCCCTCCTCCTCCTCCTCCTCCTCCTCCTCCTCCTCCTCTTCCTCCTCCACATCCTTCCCCCGTCCACCTTCTGGTGGTGGTGGCGGCGGAAAACGAGCCCACCAAGGGGCCCGTCCGGGTCGGGGCCCCGGTGCGCCGCCTGGGCCTCGGAGGCGGCTGCTGCGGAGCCGCGGGCTGCGGCGCTCCGCCTCCCGCGCCCGCCGCGCGCGGAGTGGAGCGCCGGCAGTCCTGAGAAACCCACCGCTGCATACAGTGCAAGGATTTCCTGGAGGAGGAGGGAGGAGGGAGGAGGGAGGAGGGAGGAGGAGGAGGAGGAGGAGGAGGAGGAGGAGGGGGAGGAGGAGGAGGAGGGGGAGGAGGGTGGGGGAGGAGGAGGAGGGGGAGGAGGAGGGGGAGGAGGAGCGATAAATAAGGAACTAGGCCCCGATTCTCGAAAAGTTGAACTTCGATTTCCCATCGAAAACGCAGAGAAAACCTGAGGCAAGCTGTCAAACAATTAAGGAACACGGAGCCCCTCCCCAACGAAAAGGGTTCCTTCTTCAGCGCCCCGACTGTAGTGCAAGGATTTCCTGGGGATTCCCCATCGGGGATCTTCTGGCCCGGGTCAATCCAGGCCCGGGTCAGCAGGAAACCAACAACTGCAGTGCAGGACAAAAAAAACTGCAACGCAGGTCTTCGCACACCTGGGTCAGCCAATATGAGCGGCCGCCTCGCGGCCACGAGCGGCTCGCTCACCCGGGTCAGCCAGAGGGGGTCTCCGCAGGATCCTGCAGGATCCGGTGCCGTGGCTGACCCCCGCTTGCATTGACCCCCGTCTCAATCGGGAGCGGCCAAGAGGGGGGTGTCCAAGAGGGGGGGGTGCAAATCATGACCGGCGGCATGTGCGCAGCCCAGCGGGGAGGCCAGGGACGTAATAAAATAAGAAGAGGCGCCACGAAATCTGGGGAGATATCATGGCCCACGCCATGATATCCCCCCCCCCCCTAGTCATCACCCCCCTCTTTTCCGCCCCCGTCTCAAGGCTCCCGACCCCAGAATTCCCCGGGACTTCCGGGGATTGCCCAGGATCCCTATGGGATTCCCAGGCCGGCCCAGGCGTGTGGCCCAGGCGTGGCGCACGCGTCCCCTGGTGGCGCAGCTGGCCACACCTGGGCCCCAAAGAGCCCACAAGAGGGCCGCAGATGCCTCCGAGAAGGTCCGAGTGTGCCCCCAGTACGCCCAGGATGGCCTCAAAGCGGCCCCGGATGCCCCAAGACGCCCCAAGAGCCTTCCAAGAGGCGTCTCAGGAGGGCCCCGAGAGGCACAAATTATTGATTTTAACTTAGGTGTTCGAAGGGTGCTGGCCTTCTCGCCTTTTCGGCGACCCGACGCTCCACAACGGCCCGCGATGCCCCCAAGACGGCCGCCCAAGAGGGCTCCAAGACGGCCCAACAGGCGCCAAACACGGCCCAAGAGAGCCCAACGACGGCCCCAAGGGGAGGCCGTGATTGGGAACCCGATCAGACATCTCAAGCCCTCGGCCCCGAGGGCACCCGGGAGGCCCCACAAGAGGCCTCCAAAAGGCCCCGAGATGCTCCCGAGAGGCCTCCCAAGGGCCCCCAGGAGGCTCCCAGGAGGCTCCAAAGCTGCTCCTAAGTGGCCACCGAGAGCGTCCTGAAGAAGCATCCCTGAGAACTCTGGCGCACAATCCAGGCACGATGGCGGGATGAGCCGAAGGCCACCAGATCCGCCGCCCCCTGTGGTCTTGCCACAGAAGTGCCCAGCGTGCTAAATCTACTGGTTAGATGTTGGTTCTTTCTCCAAAGAACTATTACCTGGGGCTTCGGCCCGTCCCACAGGCCAACCGGTAGGGACCGGAAACAAGCACAACGTCAGAAAAAAATCCTAAAATGCTCAAGATGCCCTCCAATACGGCCAAGATGGCCTCAAAGTTCGCCCAGGATGGTCCAAGATAGTCTCGAAGACGGCCCAAGAGAGTCCAAGATGCCTAGAGAGAAAGGTGTAAATTCGGTAGGCGTCCTTTGGACTTGCCGCATGCTCCATGGCTTTTGGCCGGAGCGCACGTGGACAGCCTGCTCGGAAGCCGCCGTGGCCGTGGCAGGTGGCCTGCTCCAAGTTCGCTCCAATACGGCCTCAAGATGACGGCAGACGGCTCAAGAGGCCTCCAAGAGGCCTCCAAGACTGCCCAAGAGGCCTCCAAGAGGTCCTCTAGGAAGGCACGAAGAAGCCAAAATGATTGACATTCCGTAGAGCTTTGGCAGGATGTTTCTCCATAAGGCGACCCGATGATGGCAAGCCTGGGGCACCATCGCTTCCTAGACGAGGACGCACCTGGCAAAATGAGAGGGTGCTGGCGGTTGGGCGTGCCCTCGGTGCCAGCAGGGCAGCATGCGAGAGGCTCAGGGAAGCTGCTGCTCGTGACTCCCATTGGGGGGCGCGGTAATTAGCAATTAAAGGTCACTCTCGATGATATAGGGTAAGCTGACGTTGAAGCCTCCCAGACCCCCAATCGCATGCAGCCAAGAGCTGTACCAGTGCTCGCAATACGGGCCCCGAGGCAGGCTGGCGGCTGCGAGCGTGGTGTCCGTGCTCCCCGCGCGGAGGCAGCGCGCTGCACAGCGCCAGCAGCTTAACATGCAGCCGACGAGCGGTGCACCACCAGCCGAAGAGCTCGACACACCGCGCAACCGAACCGAGCGTGTGTGCTGCGGATGTGCCCGCGTCGGCAACGTCAAGGAAGGGGAACTGCACGAGCACTGGCCGTGCTCCCCAATGAGAGGGCTCTGGAGCCGCGAATGCAAACAGAACGAACACCGGCTCAGACGCAACATCTGCCAGAGACCCGAGACATCGAGAGAGCGTGAAGGCTACAATGCTCACAGCGGCGACTGCGGCGGGAGCATAGCCACCGAGGATGTCATACACGAGGAAGAGAAGGAGGACTGACAGAGCATCGAATGTTTGAAGAGGGGGTAAGCTAAAACCAAATTGAAGAGGAGGCCCTAAGTAGGAGCGCGCCAAGGCTCAGAGCAGCGCGAGCGTGGAGGGGGGCACGGAACAGACACATGGACTACATTCGAAAAAGCATCGTGAACAGCAGCATGTGCCGCCTCATCGGTTCGAGGCGATACCCCTGACGGAGGCCAGGGCACTGAAGATAATCAAACGTGCCCTGCGAGAAAGCGCACCTATCGCAGGGCTGCCCATGCGATCTGGCCTGCCTGGGGGCATCGTCAGGCTCTCTTGAAGCTTCTTCGGGGATGGACAGACCCCCCTTTAGTAAAACGTGGTTTAGTGAAAACGGCCTGAGGCCCAAACTTGGCGGGCGCAAGCCTGGAAAGTAGCGGCCACGGCGCCCTCTCGAGAACAGAAAACGGACAATTCACTAATCGACGTGTCCCTGTTGGGGGTTCTGTCCACCCCCGACTTCTTTGGGGCGTGAATTTCCCAGTTGTCCGAGTTTCCAGCCTGTCTCCGATGGATGCCCGCGCGGGGCACAGGATGCCCGCGTGGGGCACAACGCACGCAAGATCGCACGCGGGGCAGCATGCTGGCGAAGGCAAGACCAGCACACAACGCACGCAAGATCGCACAGCGGGCAGCATGGTGGCGAAGGCAAGACAAGTGCACAACGCACGCAAGATCGCACAGCGGGCGTGGCGAAGGCAAGACAAGTACTCCAGATTTCGTAATAAAAGGGAGGGGGTCTCAACCCTCCCAGACGAGAAGTTTTAGACCCTCCCAGAGCATCCATGAAAGGGCGGCCCTTTGCCCAGACCCCCCCGAACCTTTCAAGACAACTCAAATCAGACCTCCCCCCAAATGTGACCCCCCCCCGACTTTATTATGGAATCCGGAGTACACAACGCACGCAAGATCGCACAGCGGGCAGCATGGTCGCGAAGGTGAGACAAGTATAAAATCTGAGTGAGGAGGCCGAACGGTCATTCGCTGTCCCTGGGTGCGTGGCTGAAGTGGGCTCCGCGGAACGGATCGTGGTGGGTTGTGGTTGTTGGCGTGATTGTGGTTGCTGCTGTTGTTGCCGGTGTTGTTGTCGAACTCTCATTACTGAAGAATCCGCTGGCCCTCCTGTGTGGCCACCAGGCTGTACGCCGAAGTGTGATGCTCCCTGCACTAGTTGCAGTTTCAAGTCTCCACTGTTACAGTCCTGCTTTCTGCTTCCTACTGTAAATTATTAAAGTCCGCGCGAGGGGGGGATCCCCGAACCACCCGGTTACCACGCCCGGATCGCGTCGTCTGACTTCCGGGGGGGGGCGTGGAACATATAAAAATACGTGGGGTTCGCGCCCCCCTAGGCCATATTTCCTTGTAGATTGATTACACGATACTCGCGCCCCCGAAGCCACACACCTGTGTAAATTACACAATGTTTGGGCCCCCCGAGGCAACAAACCATTGTAAATGACGCAATGCTCGCGCCCCCGACCAAGAGGGCCCCAAGCTGCTGCTCGAGCATAGGCCTCCACGCAGTTCTGCAACTTCATCGTGTGGCTTGTCTTCGTCTTCTTCCTCCTCCTCCCCCTCCTCCTCCTCCTCCTCCTCCAAGGTACACATGCAGAACGGCCGCAGCAGGGGCAACGTGCCAAACTGGCTCCTTATAGGAATCCTTTTTCTGCTCTGTTGGAGGGTGGAGCCAATGGACACGGCTAACCCACGCCCTCTACAAGAGGGCGCCCCCTATTGGGAGACGGACGGGGGGGGCTCGGTGTCTCTCGGCTTGCGTCTTCGGTTCGGTCCTCCGGGAGCTCCTCCTCACGGGTCCTATCGGGTTGGCTGGGGGGCGGGATTGCTCAAACCTCCCCGGGTAACATGCCTGAGAGGGCGGTTGGAACTCCGGCTCTGTCCCTCTCGGCCCCATCTGGGGGGCAGGCCGGGGGTGCCCATGGTCCAGGCGACCCGGCAGTTGGAGTTGGTTCGTCCAGTGGGTTTTCTGGTGCTGTGCCCATCAACACGGACCCTATGCAGTCGTGTGATGATGTGACGAGAAACCAGCGGAGGAACGCTCGCAGGAGAGCGCACAGGAAAGCCAAGAAAGCACGTAGGAGGAAACACAGACGGGCGATGGCTATGCGCAGACTGTCCCTGCTCCGTAGAGCCTCCCGGCGCCGTCGCGCCGTGAGCAGGGGGGAGTGTACGTACCTCCGAGGCGGCACCTGGAACGCCAGGTGCTGGGGGGCCACAGGCGGAGCGCAACAACTCATGAAGACAGAGTGCTTGCTCGCGCTCATGACTGCCAGACATTGGGACTTTTGCCTGCTATCGGATCTCAGTTTCCCTGACAACGGAGTGAGAGAATTTGACTACGAGGGCGTAGCTTGGACGGTTGTCATCAGAGGAACGGTAGGAATTGCGTTGAGTCCACGACTCACGGAAGAATGGAGGAAAGGAGGGGGGCAGGTAGTGGTGAAAGGGGGGGAGGAACGGAAGGGGAAGAGGTGTGTGTCTACCATGTTTCCCAGACAGGGTGCGCAAAGAGGCCTCACGCTAGTGGCCTGCTACGCGCCCTGCTCAGGCCCTCGCTACGCTCGTGCTCGCGATCGATTCTATGAGGAGATCTCCCATGTAGAAGAGCGCAGCAGAGGCGCCGACAACGTGTGGGTCATGGGCGGAGACTTCAACGCCGAGCTCGGCCCCTGCAGGGACCCCGAGGACACGGCTGTGCTAGGATCCCATGGGGCGCCTCGCCGCACTGACAGCGGGAGGGAATTACTGGAATATTGTAAGGAGAAGGGACTCTTTGCCCTGAGTACAGCGTTCCCACAGAGGGAAGCGTGCACGTGGTGGCACCCCCGTCTTCGGACGGGCCACCAATTGGATCACCTCTTTACTCGTACTCGGGATCGATGGCACACCCACGCGTGTCGGACGCTACATTTTGCGTCGGGGCCTGAACTGGGCGTGTCCCGGCGGGCGCGGAGGCGGCAGCGTAGAGCCGGACCCCGGACCAAAGACGACGGTGCAATCGCCTGGGCGGCATATACAGACCACGACCCCGCAGAGATCGGCATCCGTCTCGGGGGAGCATGGTGGAAACGCGGAGCCCAGAATCCGAGGTCTGGCTCGGCGGGCAATGCGCCGAACTACCCGAGCATGGTCGGGTCTAGTGAATCGGCGAACCAACTTCGGGAACGTTTTGCTTCCCGGGTCACGGAGTTGCTCGGGGATGCCAGCGCTAGCCCGCCGACGTGGCGGGCGATCTGTGAGGTGGCCTAAACTGCAGGGATGGATGTGTTAGGTGCCCGACCTGTTCGGCACCAGATCCCCTGGCGGAGGGGGCATGCGCAGGAGAAGCGCAGATTGGACGCCAAAGTGGAGGAGGCTCGTGGCTTGTGGTCTTTGTCAGATGCCTCCACGTCAGCCGCGGCGCTCCAAGCGAAGCGGGAAGCTGCCCGCGTCCGCCGTCGCACGCTCAGAAACTGGGAACGGACATGCTGGGAAGACATCGGGAAGCGGGCGTCCGAAGCCGCTCACCGAGGGGACCAAGCGTCACTTTACAGGCTGTTCAACGAACTCCGCTCGGGCCGACGCTGGCGCCCCCTTGGGCGCGTCAGCGTAGCGGACACTGACAAGGAACGAGCCGAATGGCGACGGCACTTCGAAAGAATATCCGGCGATGTCGGCCGAGTGGCTGACCGGGTATGGGAGTCAGTGCCAAAATCGCCGTTGACAGCGAGTTGGCTTGACGCAGTCCCAACGGATCTGGAACTAGATCGTTGTGTTACCAAGATGAAAACGGGCAAACAACCGAGTGAGGACGGCTTCGTCGCTGAAGCCCTCCGGTTTGGTGGCAACGAAATCCGGCAGCACGTGTTTGCCACTGTGAAACGAATGTGGACGTTGGCCGCAGAAGGGGAGGAGGAGGAGGAAGCCGCCGGGTGGCCGGCAGAATGGCGCACGGGACTCGTAGTGCCGCTGTGGAAGAAAAAAGGCAACCGCAAGGACAAGAACACTTGGAGAGGCATAACGCTTCTCTCCGCTGGGTCCAAGTTACTAGCGAGAGTTATCGCCTCGCGGGTGTCCCAGTGGTCCGAGGAGTTCCTGGGCGAGGAGCAATCGGGCTTTCGGAGAGGACGTGGGACCGACGACGCCTCGCAGGTGACGCGCAGACTGATCGAGGAAGCGTCTGAAGCGTCTTCCATGACACGGGACGCCAATAGTGTTGTCCTTTCTGGACATTGAAAAATCATACCCTCGGGTGTGCCGTCCAGCTTTGTGGCGGCTACTAGAGTTGAGAAGATGTCCGCCGGGGATGCTAGGAGTATGCATAGCACTGCACGAGCACACTGGATGCAAGGTGCGTGTGTTGGGCGGTACGTCGGAAGGATGGTACCCCAAACGCGGCCTCCGGGAGGGGTGCCCGTCGAGCCCACCTTTATTCAACGTGTTCCACGACGCGGTGCTGAAAGACTTCAGGGGCCGACGCAAGCGCTTGGCGGCAGCGTCAGGTCTGACCCCTGGGGTTCCATGGGAGTACGAGATTGACGGGCACCTACAAAAGAAAGCCCGGAAACGGCACCAGGAGATCACGGAGAAAGGGAAATCGAGCTCCCAACGCGCTATGGTACTCGGAGACGTCGCTTTCGCCGACGACACAATGATAGCGGGTTTTGCCACAGAGATGCGTACGTCGGAACCCCTGCTGGGGACGACTATGTCAGACTGGGAGGAAAAGGTAAACGCTGGCAAAACGGAACGGTTGTATATCAGCGGCCACCAGCGGTCACCATATGATGTGCGTCGCGAACATGAGGTTTCACAACTAAGGCACCTTGGAAGGATCCATCATGAAGTCGGCCTCCAAACGGCCGACACGGCTCGCCGGGTTATTGCCACCAAAGGGTTGATCCGCACTATCGCCAAAGGATGGTCACAGGGCACGGCCCACGGCCGAAGAAGGACGAGTGGCGTCGATATTTCTACGCGGCTTTCAGTGGTCCAGCAGTGTGCCATTACATCCCTGCTCTCGGGCTGTCGGTCACGCTCCTGGAGCAAGGCGGATCTGCTCAGGTTGCAACGAGTGGCCGATTACGGGGTCAGGAGAGCGTTCGGGATGGATGTGTGGGCCATGGAGGAGCATTCGATTGCTGACGCCGCAATGTATCGTGCCTCCCGCTGGAGGACTATCGAGGACCAGATCGCTCGCCTAGCCATGCAATGGCTTGGTCACGTTGCCCGAATGCCTGTCTGCAGGGTGCCGAAACAAGTGTTGTTCGGTTGGGTCGCCGGTCGTAGATGTGACGAGTACAACCGGTGCTCTTGGCAGTACCTTTGGTTGGGTCGTGGGATTCAGCGCATGGGAATCCACGAACACGACTGGTTCAGAAAGGCCACCAGCCGGCAGGCTTGGAGGCGCGCCGTCAACCGGGCGTTTCCGGCCATCGAAGTGACGAATGAGTATCGGGCACTAGTGAACCAATCGCGCCCTGGAGCGCCCCTGCCCAGCGACGATCCGGAATTGGTTGCGGATGACCCTCCGGGCGTCCCCCCGTTTCCTCCCCCTCCCCCTCCCCCAGTTCCTCCCCCTCCCCCTCCTCCGGGAGGGGGTGTTGGCGCTGCTGCAGCAGGAGCGGCCGATGGAAGGTACGTGTGCCCAGTACCGGGCTGCGAGAAGCGCTTCAATGCAGGGAACCAGTTGCGGTTTCATTACGACGAGCATCACGCCATACGGGACCCGGGGTTGGTGACCACTTGGGCGCATTATTGCCTCGACTGTAAGCAATACCTGGGAACCCGGCTACAGTATCATAAACCCCGCTGTCCGGCGCGTCTGGAATTCCAGCGTGCTCTGCAGACCACGGAAGAGCGCTGGATGCATGTTCAGTACGGCCCCCACCCGGCACCGCCGGAGGGCTGGTGGATCGCCACGGATGGGTCTGGATCGGACAGAGAGGCAGGCTGCCCAGAGGATCCCTGATTGCTAGCGCAAGGCGTGTGATTTACA